TTTGGATGGGAAACCCTGTAATTCGATCTTATTTGAAAAAAACGAATCAAAAGACGTCCTCTAATAAACAAAAAGCAGCATTTATTTGGGAAATTCGTGAACAAGAATTTAACGACGTTCCCCTATGGAATGAATGCCGCACTTCTTATTCATGAGGAACGGCGTTCTTCTGTGGACAAAAAAGTTACATTTCTTATGTGGAATTCGTGAACGATTCCAAAGACGTCCTCCTATGGGCAGAAAGCCGAATTTCTTAATTTTTATTACCAGTGTAAAGCAATCCGGGAAATTATAAAGTTATTTATAATTACATTAGTGGTCTGGGAGACCTGAAAGATTTCAAGCTATAATCACCATATGTGGCATTACTTATTTATGTGGACGATGATGTTCAATCAAGCCACTGCTTTATATTTGGATAACTCAACCATTTGGAAATAACTTTAAAAATCTCTTATTTTTTAAAGATAATCCATCCTTTATTGTTGATTAAATCTATGTCTCTTAGTATTATGTCGGCATATTATTGACAAGAAAATTATTTTTATTGCATTATTTTTATTGCATTATTTTAAATAAATTCTTTTATAATAAACAACTATATTGAAATATTTTTTAAATATTTATAAATGATGATTTTTACATTATAAACAAATTCATTTGTAATTTATTTTTATTAAGAAGCCTAAAAGTAAATAGCTTAAAAAGTGGCCAGCTACTTTTTTAAATGGTAGCTAATAGTGGGCTATGATAAGTAGTGGTAGCCCTGCAGATTTTGCTCATAGTAGAACAAAAGTTTTGACATCTATTAACAAAATCTCGAGGCTGGCATAATATTTTTTGGATAAAATATTGAGTTAGCCATCTTGAAAAATCGGTTTAAATTGAGCCGTTTAACACTACTGAGAAGTATACCATCTCTGAAAATAACGAGTATTTTAATATACAGCAGAGACTTGCAGGCCCGGCCCTATACCCGGCCCTTTAAATATACCTGGGCCGGGCCTAAAAATTTTTTTTTAAATATATCCGGGCGGGCAGGGCCTAAGATTGTTAAACCCAGGACGGGCCTTAATATTTTTTATAAAAATTTTTACATTATGAGTTAATGGTTATAAGATTATATTATATTATAGTTATGATTAATATAATATTGGGTGATGGTTAACACACCTAACACCCATAGATCGATCTAATTATTAATTTCCTGCAAATTTATTCAAAGTATTAATATATATTTTTATAATTCATATCTAAATTTTTACAACATATTTTACCAAAACAATCAAATAAAGGAATATCTTAAATAAGCCCCAATATTCAAGTATTAATAATATATTTTTTATAATTCATATCTAAATTTTTAGAATATTTACCAAAACAATCAAATAAAGGAATATCATGGCACAAAATACTAATGATATAATTAATAAAATTAAAAATAATATTTATTCTTTTAGAAATACAAATAATAATTTAAAATCTGAAATATGGGCTAAATTTAACATCATCATAGATGAAAATAAAAAAAACATTGGCTACGTACAATGTAAGAATTGTTCAAGTATATTATCTTATAATTATAAACATGGTACATCCTAAAAAGACATAAATGTGATGGTAAATCCATGAAAATTAATAAAAAAAATTTACACCTGAAAAACCAACCTATAAATGTAATATAAAATATTTAAAAATTATAAAATAAATTATATTAATATTGTGCAATTAGATTATATTTTCAAAATACTATTTATTATACATGCATTATTTTAAATAGCGATTTATTTTTATTTTATAAATTAAATAGTAAATTAAATACAATATATTATATTCTCAAAATATTTTCTATTTTTATAAATTAAATATTAGTTTTATTTTTTTTAAATGCAATATAAAATATAGTATATGCTCAAAATATTATTACCATTTTTATTAATATTAGTTTTATTTTTATAAATGCAAAAAATATAGTATATGCTCAAAATATCCATTTTTATAAATAACAGTTTTATAATTTTTATAAATTTAACATAATATTCTCAAAATATTAGCTTTTTTCATGTATTTTTTAAATAATAAGCGATAATACTCCCTGAAAAATATGGTAAAATACCTCATAGGTGAATTTTTGTATATACCAGGTCGAATATAATTTTAAAAAATTTCGAGCCAGGCCTGAAATTTTTAAATCCGGGCCGGGCCGTAAAAAATTTTTTTTAAATTTATCCGGGCCGGGCCTTAAATCTTTAAATCCGGGCCAGGCCGGGCCGTAAAAAATTTTTTTTAAAAATATCCGGGCCGGGCCGGGCTGGGCCTAAAAAATTTAAAACCGGGCTGGGCCGTGCAAATGGTGCCTCTGCAGGTCTCTGATATACAGAGAGTTGACACCAAGCACTGATGAAATCATTGAAAAATTAGCTTAATTCCAAAGAATAATAATGGTTGATTTTTTAAAATGGTTAACCCATTATTTTAGCCTGGAGATTTTTCTCATAGATAGTAGAAAGGTTTGGACATCAATTAACAAAATATTAATACTTGGATAATATTTTTGGCCAAAATATTGAATTAGACTTATCAAGCCATTTAGCAACACTACCAAAGATTGAATTTTACATTATAAATTTATAATATGCTTCCTAATTATATTTTTCCCCATTTTTTAATACACCATATTATTCTTCATGAACACTTTGTAAGTATATATGCATGCAAGATTCTTAAGAATATTTTTGTACATAATCTATATTGCCAATTTTTTTATATATAATTTAATGAATATATCAAATTTTAAATCAAAAAATTTATATTTTTTTACAAAGATTATAAACATTTAATATTTTATCCTGAATATTTATTTTAATTTGTGTATTAGGAATTTGTCAATATTTTATAGTCAATAGTCTTAATATATTTATGAAACTTAAGATATTTTTAAATAACTCCTAGAATTTTAAAAAAATTATTAATTATCCCCTGCCCCCATTACAAATTCCTAAATATGTACATGATGAAAGTGTTGCGACTGAAAAAAAAATGACTGAAAAAATAAATCTAAATTGTTGGGATTGCTAACAAATATAAATTATTGTGAATTGTCAGATAAAATAATTTTTTATTGTGAAAAATTAAAACCAGATAAAAATTCTTTATTATATATTTTTTAGACCAAAATAAATATATTTTTTTTATTAATAAAATCGGAAGATATCATTTTCTTTATTTATTTTTCACAACACAAAAAAAAAATATTAAAACAAAATATTATTTTAAAAAAAATTATTATTTACAACAGAAAGGACATCTATTTGCCAAATATCAAGGTCTTTTAATATTATTTGCTAAAATCTTAATTAGGCCATTTTTAAGAATCGATCCTAATTCTGGCTTTTTAAAACACTATATAGCATGCCATTTTCAAAAGTAGAGTTTAACCACATTGATAAAAACATATAATAAAATTTACAGTCAAATATTATTGATTGACTGAATCGTTTTAACCCAGTCAAATACCCAATCATGCTAAAAAAAATAAATTCAAAGATAGGATCTACATCTTAAGAGCTCCTATAGATTTGACATTAATCTAGGCAGCTAAGATAATATTTGTAATTTTTTTTCATTATTGCAAAATAGCTTCATTTGAGCCAATTTTTTTAAAAAAGGCTAACACAGTATTTTATCTAAGAATAATATTATGGAACTCAAAGTTTTAGACATCTATTAGTGAAATCATGAGGCTTGAGCAATATATATTTTTCAGGCTAAAACATTGAGGTAGGCGTTTTTAAAAATCAGCTCAAATGGAGCGATTTTGCATCACTTATAATATGATAAAATACCATTATAAATTTAAAAAATTTAGAAAGAAACACTAAATTTTTCTATAGAGTGGTATCTATACTTTCTGAGTGATGGAAGCAGAATACCCACCCCCTCCAAAAAAAATTTCTTGACACCCATAAATTTCAAAAATAATTTTTATTGCATCAATCTTTAATATGTAATATAAATTTAATGTAAAAAAATATATGCTTTAGAAATATTATTTTTAAATTAATAATTTAGACAAATTAGGGGAAGAGAAAGTGAAAGAATTTATAATTTCATCAATATTTAATTGTTTAAATAAATTAAAAATATATACTTTAGAAATATTATTTTTAAATTAATAATTTAGACAAATTAGGGAAAGAGAAAGAATTTATAATTTCATTAAATTTAATTGTTTAAATAAATTTTTTCCATATAAAATAGTCAAATTTTAAAGGAATGGATTTTTCATGGTACTATGAAGTCTTGATTTAATTAATTTAATTTTACATAACCCTTTCGGCAGTATATGAGGTAGTAGGAATGGTTAATAAATATTTATATAAAATTGTTAAATTAAGGAAATGAATAGTTTTTCCTCTGAATCATAAGTCTCAGAATCATTATCATCAGAAGAAGCTAAATAATACATTAGTAAAAATATTTTAATTAATTTACACATCTCAGATCTCACAAATCTTTAGATTCTTTATCCTTTATGTCACATGTAATAATTACATCCCCTGTTTTAACCATCTTATAAATATTTTGAAACAACATTTCTTCAAAAATTTAATTTGTATTTAAATGGTAAAATTCACAGATATCTTTTATTAATTAAGCATTTATTTTTTTGGTTATTATTATTGGGCATATTTTGAAATTGGAAAAATAATTTTATGACAATAAATCTTGGATAACAACCTAATTTGCTAAACATCATGTTGAGTCCGATACAGAATCACTTGGTTATGGATGGGTGTAGTAAAACAATAAAAAAATTAAACTTTAAAAAAAGAACCCTCACTCAAAATTTTAGAAGCAGTTGCTTCGTACCCCTACCCTTCCCACCCATATTAGGGGTGACTGCTTCTATATAGGTAAGGTACTATGTGTCTACCTAAATACAGCCTTGCTGGTACACTTCTAAGAATATAAATTAAAATGTTTAAATAAATTCTAACCAGGCAATTTGTACTAGCCTTTGATTTTTTTCACATTCAAGAGTTTGTAGGTATATAATTAATAACTATAAAATCAATTAATAGTCCTTATTGATTAAATTATGTTACTTTGTGAGGGTGTTGAGAATGAACTGCAAAACCTAATTCCTTCAATATACGCCTCTCAGATTTAATAACTTGTGTTTTTACATTAATATAATATTGATCCAAAATTAGGGGTGATATTGCTCTATAAAAAATATTATCATAAATTTACAAAATAGTTTATATACTCCTTGTTTTCTAATTGCCTTATATGATGAAAAACATTTATAACATCCCTTGGTCTTCGTGGACTTTCATCTATTTTAGATGCTAAAAAAGTGGTCGCCATTGCAATAACCTAATAGATTATAACTTTTAAATATTTATTAATTAAACATAAACCTCAAAATTGTATTTTACAAAAGATTTTATAAAGAAATATCTTTGATATAATAATTGGGCAGTAGCTATTGAAACCTGAAGAAATACATAGTTACATCTTCACTAATTAAATGAAAAAAACTTGAGGTAATTTAAGGAGAACCCCAGCTTCTTGTATAAGTTCACAACCTCTAACACGTAATTCAAAATCAAAATCAATAGATATATAGTCAGTCAATGAAGGAGGATTGATCACTTTATCGGAAGGTAATAATATATTAGATAAACTTAAATATGGTTTAATTGTTGGCATAATTTTTGAATTATCAGAATTTAATATGACAAACATTCGTTTTAACGTTAATAGCTTTCACGTCAAATCTTATTATTTATAAATATTTTGGTTTGCGTGGCCTAAGATAAATTAATATTAGATTTTATATTTCTTTATTTCAATTTATTAAATTTAAACTTTGTGTTATATTTAATTTTGTATTTCTTTAATACTAAGAAGTTACATTATAATTATCAGTGGCCCCTACACTTTTTGAGCGAATGAAGAAGAATACCCCCATGAAAAGTACCCCCTTGAAAAGTATCCCCCCTCTTTGAAAAAATGATAATTATGACACCCATCAATTTCAAAAATAATTTTGATTGCATCAATTTTTAATATATAATATAAATAAAATGCAAAAAATATAACTTTATAAATATTATTTTTAAATTAATAATTTAGATAAATTAGGGGAAGAGAAAGCGAAAGAATTTATAATTTCTTCAGTATTTAATTGTTTAAATAAAAAATTTTCCATTGATAATATGGTTAAATTATTGAGAAAAGAATCTTTCTTGGTACTGCGCAGTCTTGTTTTAATTAATTTAATTTTACTCATGACTCTTTCGGCAGTACATGAGGTTGTGGGAATGTTTAATAAATATTTATATAAAATTCTTAAATTAGGGTAAGCAGAAAAATTTTAAAGTAAACGATAAGGTAAAATAAATGAATAGTTTTCCCAATCTGAATCGTAAGTCCCTGAATTATCATCATCATCAGAAGAAGCTAAATAATGTATTGGTAAAAATATTTTAATTAAATAAATTTACAATTCTCAGAATCTGACAAATCTTTAGATTCTTGAACCTCTAGGTCATGAGTAATAATTACATTCCCAATTTTGGCCATCTTATAAATGTTTCTAAACTTCAACATTTCTTCGAAAATTTGACTTGAATTTAAATTGTAAAATTAACAGATATCCTCGATATCTTCTTTAATAATTGATTTTTCTGCCATTCCCTTTGGCGTAAAAAATTATGTTTGATGTAAAAATATACCTCTCCTTTTTGGATTGTAATGTTTGAAGTCTAGAACTTTCAAAATCAAAAGGTAGATTTCTCTCCTTCATAAAATCTTGCGCCTTTGAAAAACATCCAAAAATTCAGTGTTATTATCTATTAGATTAAAAAATAATTAAGACAATAATTTATATTATACTTCTCAAATTAATCAAGCAATCTTTTGCCAATTGAATTTGATTTATTGCATACCCTATATCCTTCGAAATGGTTTGCAATTTTGTACAAGCCAAACTTGTTATCAACAATATTTTATCCAAAACACAAAGTGATAAGATAAAATCAAATTTTTCTATTCTAAAGACTATAGCACTAGCCATAGTGGAAGTGGCAGGATCTTCAGAATCCTTTAAATTTGTTAAAGCTACCCTCAAGGCATCATAAGTTGAAAAAAATTTACAATAGTTTTATAAATATTAAAAGGGGGGTAGGGGTAAGTATAAGTTGGGGAGTAGGATAAAATTATCTAGAATATTATCTATTACATTTTTAATTTATATGTGGATAAAATTTGCTATAATAATTTATAATACAATTATAGACATATATAATATTAATAGATTGCTAAATATCAACCAATAGAATCTTAATATATTGTACTCCATTATTTTTGAATTTCTCGTCAAATATTTTAGAGTATTTTACAACATTTTTTATAATATAACGTGTGAAGGGCTCCTCATTTTTATCCCCATTTTAATTTGTCCAGTCAGATGGATCATGTTGTATCCACAACTAGAGGGCGAAAACGACTAGAGGGCGAAAACGTTCTATATCACGTATCACATATAGATTGCGATTTAGACGCGATAAATACAAAATACAGTAAATATGATATCGCATTCATAGTTACCGATCGCGCGATTTGATACGCGAAATCAAAACTCAAATCATTTAGAGTTTATCGCGAGATTTTGAAATAGTGCTTCGTTAAATACAGATTTTGGTGAATATAGCTCAATTTTTGATATTGCGCTACTTATAAATTTAGCGCTAATTTTTTATTATTGAAATAAATTCAATGACAACCTTTTTTGATGATATAAAACCAAAGGATTAAGTTAAAATTATGATTTAATTTTTTTAGAAAATAGACAAAATAGCTTTTATAGATGCAAATGATATGTTTAATGATATAACAGGAGGTATACATGAATGTAAAATATAGCATTTTAATTGATAAAATATATTTATTATTTAGGTGATCACATTGATAGTTAGAATATATCAGATGATATATTTATTCCCAAAGATTCTGCAGCACTAAATCTTAGTAATGATTTGGTAATTAATAATATCTAAAAATTTATATTATCTTTTAGATAGAATCTATGTACTAAGAGAAAGAACAATAATATGGGTAATTTATATTTTTTGATTTATTGATAAATTTTAAATAGATGACTATAGGAAATTAATGAAAATAAGAAGCAGATAAAGCATTAATAACCTTAGAAGTGCTTAAAAATAAATCAACAGAACATGCAATATGTTTAATGTTAAAAGAAAAATTAGATGATTGTACCAAAGAGGAAAAAAAAGAAATAACAAATAAAATACTTGATATTATAAAAGATTATTTTGTATGTATTTATATTATTTGAAATAAACATTTTGTATGTATTTATATTATTTGAAATAAATATTTTGTGAAATACATTGAATGATATAATTATTCCCAAATGTCCTGCATTAATTAAGCCTTGTACTGAATTTGGTAATTAATAATGTCTAAATATATATAATTTATAATGAATGATCTTTATCTTAGAGAAAGTGTAATGACATTGGTAATTTATGTTAACTTGCTTTATAAAAATATTTTCAATAGATGAATTTAGAACAACTATATAGCTTTTTTAGTGACATATTCCTACATATATATTTTATGAGTTTAGACTATATTAATAATAACTTTATTTTTTATTATAATATATATAAAATACAAAACAAGATATTTATAAAAATTGCAGATCTTTAATATACTTCGTGCAATATCATATTTATACTTCGGTAGAAAAAAAACAAAAGTTTGCTATACCGATGAAATAAGTGTCGTAGACCTTTTTTAATTGTTATGATCTTCATTTTGGCTCAAGCCGAAATTTATTTAAAATTAGTATTGGTAAACGGCTGAAAACTCATCTAGTTTTTGAGTCTAAAATTGACTTAAGCCGGCTTTTTGAGTCAAATTTAGCTCGAGTGGGCTCATGAATTAGCTCAAGCCGACTATTGATTCGAAATTTATTTATTTGTTAGCGTTGTTAAACGGCTAGCCGGATTAGCCTTGAATAGGCTTGAGCTATCGGCTTGAGCCTGAGCCCAATTTTTGGCTCAAAAACTGGCTGAGTTTTTGGCTAAGCCGGCTTGGCTCAGCCATTTAACAACACTACGATCAGCTGGATCGATCGCAGCGATTTTCATTATAGTGCAGTGCAAAGCGTTATTAATTCAAAATGGTATCCATCCTCAAATTATTATTTTTTTACAGAATGATCTTGAAGAGAAGATACTATCTTTTTGTAAAACAAAAGAGGGCGAATTTTATGTCCTAATTCCTAAACTATTAAAAAATGAGCCTAAATTTTTCAACTATATGAGAATGACTAAAGTAATTTTATTATATTTTATCTATAATTCATTTTAATTTAGGAAACCTTTTATTATATACTCAAACTTGTAAAACCTTTATTACATACCAAATGTACCAATTTTATAAAACATCCTATAAGTGTTGAAGAAAAGCTTGCTTCGGGCCTATATTTAAAAAAAAATCAGGTTCGGGCTGGGAGACAGGCCTAATATTTTTTTAAAAAATTCGGGCCTGGTGGTGCTCAGGCCTGATAAATTTTTTTATCTAAATTTATCAATTTTATGTTGAATATTTTATGCAAAATAAAATATTTGTTTTTATTTATAGAAACTAGACGCCATATAACTATAACATTTAGAATTATTTATTAAAACTAATTTCTATATTTATAATAAATCGGGCCAAGCCGGTAAATTTTTTCATAAATAATTTCGGGTTCGTGCTGGGTCGGCAAAATTTTATTAAAAAAATTTCGGGCCAGGCCGGGTTTCAAAAATAAGGCCCGATGCAGATCACTAAACTATATTGTAATTCCTGATGATATTAAATGTTTATTTAGACAAAACTCATTCACAAGTTTAATCATACATAAGTATTCATTTAAAAAAATGAGTAACAGATTAAATCATGGGGAAATTTTCATATGTTATTTTTTTTTAATATTTTTTTTTTTTTAAATTTTTTATTTATTTTTTTTAGATTGTCTGGATTTTGGTAGAAATTTTTGAATGTTACCTTTTTCTTTCAATTGGCGTATTTTTAGATTTTTTTTTTGATAAATAAATATCGTGTGGATTTTGAAGGAAATTTTTTGATACAATATCAAAGTTTTTTAAATTTAACATTTTACCTCTTTATGGATAACATAAATTTCACCAATATGTGTATTTCTTATACAAGGACCATGGCTTTTTTAAAAGATCATGAGTTTCTTATCTATCACACATGTTGTTAAATTTATATAGAACTATTTTTGTTTTTCCTTAAAAATATATATATCTATATTATCATTGTATATATGTTATGTTTATTCAAATAAATTGATTAATTATTTAGTATACCTATTTTTATTAAATTCTTAAATATACTCTGTTTTTCTAAATTCTTAAATATACTTTTTTTTCTAAATTCTTAAATATACTCTTTTTTTCTAAATTCTTAAATATACTCTTTTTTTCTAAATTCTTAAATATACTCTTTTTTTCTAAATTCTTAAATATACTCTTTTTTTCTAAATTCTTAAATATACTTAAGATTTTTTTTAAATTTAAAAAAAATAAAATAAAAAAATAAATAAAAAAAAAATAAATAAAAAAAAATAAATAAAAAAAAATAAATAAATAAAAAAAAATAAATAAATAAAAAAAA